CACACACACACACACACACACACACACACACACACACACACACCACCCCTATATAGACAATAGGACTGACCTTTCCAATACATCTAATGTTCATATCAAATTGTATAAATTACAAGCCTAACCATTTTCCTCTTTTTAGAAATTGATTATACTGTGTATAATTAAACCCACAAGATTTCGGTAGGAATAGTGTTTAGTTAATTTGCATTTATTCGCCGGTAAACATTCGGTACGAATACTTTACTGATACAGTGAATCACTCGAAGGTTACGACTGAAATCTAGGAACTAAAAATAAAAATAGCAGTTACGGGATCCAATTACAGGAAGTACTCGGCCAAGTTCAAAATTGTCTGCGTTTAACATTCATTTTATAACAACATCCGTCTTCGAAGTCTAATTAGGAAGCAATTATCTGGTGAACAAGTAGCGAATAACTATCTGATTATACTAATCGGAGTTTTACGCTTGGTTTCGTTTGCCCAGTCATTTATCATAAGTCTATCGGTTCAATTATAATTTAAAGTCAGTACTATTAATGAATGGTTTTCAAATAAACCATAAAGAATAAAAGCAATTATAAAACGGATTATCACATAATCGAAATATTTAATATTTTTAGTCAAAACGAATCTAACCGCGATTACTCATTGGATTACTGAGAGTGGTATATTTTATCTTGGATCGCATTATATGGCGTTAAAATCTCCATAACTACGCTATAACATAAATCGAAATAACTAACATAAACTGTTATTTTATATACAATATAGTGTTTTCTATGTTATTATGTAGTGCTGTTTGAATGAAACGTTATTTTAATCATCATTCATATACATTTAATGTGTGTATAATTATTTTTGCACTTTTATAAGCGCGTTTTTCAAAAATAATTTGAAACACATTGATATGTATGAAATAATTGAACATGATCATAATACAACTCGTGTTCACCTCGTCTAAACTCCAAAGCAATTAAAATGAAAAGTATTTTGGTATTCTCGTCGTATGCAGTCCACCGCGCGCTTGTACATCAAATTCGTATTTGAAATGCATCCGAACGGTTTTTATATCCAGACAACACTGTTAAAGTATCCTTATGAGATGACGCGATAACGGTAGTTCGTGCTCTTCGCGGCGCAAACAGTGTTGTTACATACCCGTAACGTGGTCTTGGAATTCTACCATGCAGTTGGCAAACGAAAAATTATAAATTTCATTTGTTTCAATCGTTTCATTTGCGACGCATGTGCATCGATTTTTCTAGGGTATTACATAGTAATAGTATTCGTATATCGTTCAATTAGTGCACCGGCCATTGGCGCGCATTTGCCAATAATACATACTGTCGTTATAATTCCTCGTACACAGATTATCGGCATTTCGGTTCACTGCGCATTGAGGCTGTAACGCACGCGCCGCCGAGCAGTGGTTTTTACGTGTGCGTACGTGTACAGGTTGGCTGTTTGTTAACGTCATAATTTTGAAATTACATAAACTGTAATCCATTAAGCATAATACACCGACTAATAACGTGTGTACGTGCACGCGGCGCGTATGTGTGTGCACACACCAACGTAAACATAAACATTAGAAACGTACACGGTTAGTAACGACATAACTCCAACAGACGTACGTGTGTACTACTCGTATAATTACAGTGAAACCTCTCTTAAGGGACACCCCTAATTAGCGGACACTTCTCAATAACGGACAAATTTTCCGGGCCCGGCAAAGCCCCATTGAAAGTAATGAATTTCGCTCCTCTAAACAACGGACGCGGACAGGTTTAGATAGTCTGGTGTGTTCAAATACCTCTTAATAAGGGACACATAAACCGGGAGATACGAACCTGTTATGATTAAAACAGTTACAATAAACCTGCGCATAATTCTTTATTCGTTTTTCTCAATAACGGATACCTCTCAATAGCGGATAATTCTGACGGTCCCGTGAGTGTCCGATATTCAGAAGTTTTACTGTATATTGTTTTATGTGTGTGCCGCGTGTGCGTGTGTCAGTATTTGTGACAATATTCCTCGAACGATACGAAAAGAACCGAATAAGACTATTTTGACGAGGAGTTGTGTGTACGCGGCCCGCCGTGTACTGCTAATGAATCGCACGTGAATTCACGAGTCCGTGATGTTATCGCAATGGTATAACGCGCGCAGCGGAATGAGCGATGGCGTGATAATGACGATGATATTGGCGACGGCGATGATAACGATGACGATTTCGATGATTATACGTTCGGTGTTGACATAACACATGTTAAGCAAATGGAACTAGCGGATTTGACTTAAATGCTCGTTCGAGTGTGTATACACCTTGCACGTATTATATTTATTACATTTTATACACATTATTTATTATATTTATTGCACGTATTATGCTTAACGTTCAATAACACATTTTACGCAACCGATTTGCAAACCTTAATTAATCAGTGTTCTTGTTATGATAGCTCTCGAGTTCGAGATCGACGTTATGTCACTCTACCGTACGAACTCAATTTCGGTGTAAGTTTTAGCTTTCAAAATGATTTGAGTATTTGACGATCTTATACAATATTGTGCTGTACGTCGATGGTATTACAGTATCAGGCGCTAGCTCCCACGGTTAACATTTCGTTGACATTCATTAGATTTGTCCATGTAATAAGCTAATCATCAAATTTATTTATGATTTAATAATAATTGAAGTAAATCATTTGGAAAAATAAAAATAAAATCACTGAATAAACTTTTCTACTTTTCACTTATTATTAACTGAATAGCGATGAATTTACAATGCTATTATACACGTTTTTTTGTTTTATAATACAAAACATGTGAACATTTTTGTTAAAATCAATTATTTTTTAAAGAAAAAAAAACCAAACAAAATTTTCAGAAGATTTGAAAATATGTTTACCGTAAAATTATCAGAAAACATGGTTGGATATTTACAATATGCAAAAACACATATTCTCGAGATGAAAAATATGTGCATTGATAAATATACACCAAATTAAATAATGACGGATACGAAGAATTTTATGAATTCGCATATAGTCGTAAACAACTTTTATTAATTCGCAGACACGAGACGAATTTCAGGGCCTGGGCCGGAAAAAGTTCAATTTTTATGCCGCAGTAAATTTGAAAATACAATAAAATTATAATTATATAAAAAAAAGGACTATTGGATGAAGAAAACCG